TGTAACACTTGAAAAAAGTTCCTGGGAGCGAAAGTTGTCACAATAAATGTCACATTAGTTACATCTATTTCTTTTACGTAACATAATTCTAACATTATTACTAGTTTTAGAATAACTAAGGTAAGCACAAAAAAACTTCAAATTATCTAAATAAATATTTTATTGTTAAAGATATTTAAATAGATAATAAATCTTGGTATGTACAGGAAATGTACTAGGATATAGTATTAAATTCTACAAAGCTGCTCAGTTTTGGTCTCTCATTAATACAAAATGGACCTAAATTAACTGGAAGGCAAACACAGAAAGATGACAAAATCCCCTGTAACAAGAAACTTACCTATAAGGATGGACTCAAAATTCTGTTTAATATTGCATTCAATTTTAAGGCAAAAATCCGGCGGGAAAAGAAAAATAACCTAACCAAGGGACTCTCATCTTACTTTGCACTGTAATATTCACGAGGAAGCGCTAAACTCATAAGGGATCATACCACGTGAGGATAAGACGTAATCAGATTTGATCTATGAAAGACGGGGAGCGAGAGGGTAACTCCAATTTCTTGTATCAAAACCTTTTTTCCAGTTGAAGTGGTGAACTTGTCGTAATCATTTTATTTGTCAGGAAACAGGACACGTGTTTCCTGAGGTGGGTTCTAGCCATGGCCCACCACTGGAGCTTTTGGTCCTCTAACAGAGGCCTTCAGCTGGCTTACCGGTCCACCCCTTTTAAAATTTAAGATTTCTGGGGGGTTTGAGATCTCCGAGCTTGCATTCTTGGGAGGCAAAAACTGTGGCAGATATGATGGACATGTCCAAGTGGAAGACAGACATAAAGAACCAAGAAAGAATTTGAAACAATGGCTTCAAGCTGGATAAATTAAGATTTAGAAAGGTTGCCGGAAAACACTAGTATGATAACAGGTTTACAGACGAGTGAGATAAACTGTCAGGTAGCGTCATTGAAGCTAATACTTCAATAACTTTAAAAGTACGACTCACGAAATCGTATTAACACGATTGCAAACCACGCACTGGCCTGGAGGTTTAGGTCTCACTTGCCATGGGTTCAAATCCCACCCGTTTCGTGTTTTTATTTTTTTTTAATATATTAAACATATATGAGTTGGGAATGGATGAGTGTGAGTAAGACTTGCCTGTATGGTATAAACCTTAGTACTAGATACCACAAACTGGTTTAGAAAGACACATAAGCAAACACTTGGACGTATTTATTAGAAAAAGTTTTAGTCCTGGAACCTTGATCCAGGTCCCAAGACCAAAACTTTTTCTATGTCCTAATGTTACTTACGAGTCTTTCTAAACCAAGACTTGCCTAGTATTGTCCAGGCGGCATACCGCAGTGCTCTTCTATTTTGATGTTCTTATGGTCATACATGGCTTGTGGTGGTGCTAGGGAATGGTGCAGCCCCTGGCCCTCAAACTCACTGATTCCCCAGCTCAGCTTCTACTATAACTGAGATATTTTCAATTTTACTAATGCTTGCCTTCTCTTAGAAAAAGATTTGACAGTTTTTGCATGACTTAAAAACAAATGTTCGGTGGCATCCAGTTCTAACTTTCTCGATCCAGTCTCCTGCGAAATTTCAAGAGTATTATCAGCAGAGTTGATCACAAGCGGCAGAGGTATTATTTCTAGTCGGCTTTTTCTTTCGGGGAGGTTCAATTATTTCTCCAGGATGTCAGTTTGGGGTTCTGCAACAGTATGGTGCAGGTCATCCAGCTCTTTGAAAGCAGCCTGACTACTCTCCTGCACGTTTTCTGTCCTGAAAAGAGAATTTCAATGTATAAAAATTACAAATTTACTTGTGAATGTTAGGTAAAAGGACACATGAATAACTAATGTGACATTTTACTGTGGCGACGTTTCGCTCTTCAGGAGTTTTGTCATGCCGTTACCAGACTATGGAACAAAACTCTCCTCCAGTCTGAGGGACTGAGGTGACCATGGGCCAGTATGCCTACTGCAGTGCTTATTTGTCCTCTTTAACCTCACATGGTACTTACTCCTCCGTGTCCTTATATTGTTTATAACGGCTTGACAAAGCTCCTGGAGAGAGAAATGTTGCCACAATAAAATTTTGAATTATTATAATGTGAGTAGACCTGACGCTAAATTAATAATTACAGTATTAAAACCAGCTACTCTGGTAAATTAAATTTGTGGACAGTATATGATTAGGCTTGTTGGGTACACAAAAGAAATTTGTATTACCACTTACCATTTAATTACTGTAGATGAATCACGCCACACCTGCCTGACACCTAGACCCTACACTGGCCAGCTAGAGATCTAAATGCAAATACTAATGGTGCACTTCCCTGTCAGTGATGTTCGTATCCCTTATCATCCACCATCCACATCTAATACTTGAGGTCCCACAAATTTCCTGTCCCAATTCTTCAGCAGGAATGTGTCAGCAATTACTAAATTATGGATTGAGGCTGATATACACCAACTGACCTTGGAGAGCACCTGACTACACTGCAAAATTTAGTCCAGTGCTCACACGTTAATTAAATTCAGTACAGCGCCTCCCTCTGTGGCGCCACTCCACTGGCTGTTCTACATCCCCCTCACTCAAAATTTCTCGAAGGGTCCAAATAGCATCACATTTTAATACACAATTATAATCATTTATATATTCTACATTTTGGAAATAAGTAAAAAATTTCCACAAAAGTGTCACATTAGC